GGCCACCGCCTGCCCCGTGCGCCGGGCCGGAGCCTGGCGCCTGGCAAGTGGCCATCACCAGACCCTTCCTGCTCGGTGTGACTTGCCACGCTTCTAGTTGGTGTCTTATTTTTCTCTCTTGACTATTGATGTCGTGAAAAGCCAGAGCTGAAGACTCAATAGTCAGAGGGCTATTAAACTGGTATTCTTTATTACGGCACCAGGCACACCGGGGATCTCTCCTCCAAAGGTGCACGAGCAACAACCGGGCATTTCAGGTTAAACACAATCACAATATACATATTCATTATATTTCTGCGAAATGCTTAGCATATTCATGACTTTCCCAAGAACTAATTAGTGTATGTTAATATCGTTCACGCATGTCTGTTAGCGTCCTTGGGCAGTCTGTGGGGGTCTCAAGATGAAGGCTCATACTCCTCATCACAGTGTCCGCTGGTTGATCTTTGTTTCGGCGCAGACTCCGTTCTAAGATCAGTTTGCCGTGTCCTTCCAGGTTGTTTTGCTCCGGTCTTGTTGCCCTCTTGGTGCCTCTTTCTCTCTGTAGCTTGGTGCATCTGCCCTCCCAAGGCTGAGCTGTCTGGGGTACAATTATTGGGGAGCCTCTTTGTCTTAGGCTTTCCTGTCTTCTCAAAACAGCAAGGATCTACTTTAGTTTAATTACAATCACTCTGGTAAGTGGAAATTTTACATTTACAGGTGTCACTATTAAGGCTGTCTAGATAATGGTCTCCAATGCCGTGGAAGCCTAAATGTAACTGAGCCGGACTCCGCTCCGTGTATTCAAACATAGCTGAAGCATCATGAGAGATCCGGGCAAACCCAGAAATACTCCGAACGGGGGTAGCGTCTTGTGAGGCAGTGACTGCAAAAAAGGGTTTAGGGAACGAGCTCTCAAAACCTGCTTTACACGAAGCACCTGAAGGAGCTCTAGACGATTGATCAGAATATTGAGAGGTTAATCTAAAGCGATAAATTCCTGCCAAATGAGAAAAAGATAGGAAAGAAACCAAGTGTCTGACACTGCAGCTGGACAAGCTCAGTCTACGAGCACGATGCCGCTCCGCGCACAGCACTGTTGCGGGGTGAGTGGATCGTTTCGCACTGCCTCGACTTCTCACACCTCCCTGAGCCGAAGCACTGCTGTGTCAGAGCTCAGCGCCTCGCCCTGTGTCCAAGCACCATGTCGGGCTCCGTCTCCGCAGGAGCT